TCAGGAAGGAGTGGAAAACTTCTGAACCCGAGTTCTGTGGTCCAGGCTGTGGTGATGGATTCCTGAAGTTTTTGGGTGTCCAAATCTGGTACCGAAATGGCAGCTTCTTTCTCAACCAGGAGGACTTTGTGAGAGATTTGCTGAACCGAAGAGGGTATCAGATTGATGAAACTGGAAAAGGTAGTAACCTGCCAATGGTGAAAGAAACTCCAGGTGAAGAAGAGGAGGTGGATATTCCCTCCTTGCGAGCGGCTCAAGGTGCCGTAGGGGAGTTCCTCTGGGTGGCAATCAAAACTCGACCTGATTTGGCTTTCTGCACAAGCCAGTTGTCTTTGTGGACATCCCGAAGGCCGCGATTTGTGGTTAAAAAGGCTGAGGAGGTATTTCGATACCTTGCTGCAACTCCAACGTTAGGCCTGACGTTTGGTGCAATCGCAACATGCGAAAAAGAAAGGAATGAGGTGTTGCGTTATGGGCGAGGCGTCAAGGTGGTGGAGTCTTACGCGGATGCTAGCTTTGCAGCAGGTGAAAACGAAAAGAGCCACTCAGGAGCGGCGGTGGTTTGGGGTGATTGTCCAGTGATGTGGGCAACGCAGAGACAATCAACGGTGGCTTTGAGCACTGCTGAAGCTGAATTGCATGCATCTATAGAGGGAGCAACGATGATCCAGTCGTGTACCCCTATAATTGCCGCTTTGGTTGGAACAGGTGAAGAATCGCTGCAAAAGGTGCTGTATACAGATTCGGTTTCGACGTGTTCAATCATTCAATATCCTGCTGGTAGCTGGAGAACAAGACACCTGAGAATTCGAGCAACTGGTGTCAGGTCTCTGGTGGACCGTGGTTACATGGTGATAGCGCATCTTCGTGGTGAGTATATGATTGCTGACCTGTTGACAAAATTGATGAGTGGACAGGTTTATGCAAAGCAAAAGGCACTTTGGGGTCTCCAACTGTTAGTGCAAGGAACTGACTTGAAAAGGGCCTCTCTTGCAATGGCGGTCATGATGGTGGCTGCATCCCTGCAAGGGATGGCAACAGGTGGAGAAGAAGTGTCAGCTGCTGGTTTCTTTTGCTCAGAAGAAGGGGTGTGCCAGGTCGCCAACACATCTACGGTTATGGTTCTGGCTCAAGGCATTGAAATGGTTATCAACAATTCAGACCTTGTTGCGTATTTGGTGGCAGCAATCATAATCTGGGAATTGACATGGTGCCTCTTTCGGCGGCTGTACAAATGGCTGTGGATCAAGAAAGTGGTGGTTATTCCTGCGAGTGCCACTCTGTATACAACAGTGGGTGGGAACTGTATGCACGCAAGCAGTGATTGTGATGTTCTGCGATATTCACAGCCCAGGGCTAAGACGCTTTGCAAGCATTGCCTCAAGGATGGCTGGGTGGTGAATGCTGAGTTCCTTGGTGAGGAACGGGCCGCTGGAACGTAAACTTTTTCAAGTTCGAGGTGAAGAAATCCTCAGTGGTAAGGGATTCGGCCAATGAGCTGAAGGGGCGTCCTGGAAGACGTAAAACCATAATGTGCATGTCAAGCAGCTGGCTGCTGCCTAAACGGTTTTTTTGGCCAGAATCTGCACCTCCAACGTGTCCTAGGAAATCCTAGGACAGGGGGAGTGCGGAGCTGCAACTGGTATTGTAGAAAGAAGTTAGTGTTGGGTGTTGAAAGGGTCAATGTACCCGGGAATCTCTTTTGGCTCAAGACTGGGCCATGTGCCTGGTAGTAAAAGGTGAGTGCCCTGCGGTTTGGGTTTGTTGTGTGGTTGATCCAGGGAAATCAAGGGATTCTGTTGGGGTTGACTTTTCGGTTTCTCGTCCCCCTTCGGGTTCCCCCCGTATAGGGTTTAGGGTTTAGGGTTTAGGGTTTAGGGTTTAGGGTTTAGGGTTTAGGGTTTAGGGTTTAGGGTTTAGGTTTTGGCGAAGATCGGTGGGCCTGAAGTCTCATACCCCAAGCTGCTCTGAACTGGGATCATGTCCTCTACCTTGAGCCCTAAACGCCCTGAAGCGCAAACCCTAAATCCTACAGCCCCTTCTTGCCAGATGCTGGCAACTGAGACCTCCGAACTTGGGGCAACACCACGTTCAACCCGCAACGCTGAACCCCAAACGCTGAAGCTGAACCCTGAAACCCTGAAGCACCTCCAGCCCAAGTTAAGTTTAAAGCCTAAGCTCCACGAATCCTGCCCGGATGACTGCATCCTGACTGCCCCCAACCCCCAAACTTCAAAAGCCTGAGCCCTAAATCCCTAAACCCCCTTAAACTCCCTCAACCCCCCTAAACCCCCTATAAGCCCCTAAACAACATCCGACAGGCCTTGTGTCTCAAGGAGCCTTGGGACAGCGGCTTGCATAACTGCAGAGCTTTGGGTTGTTACAAGGGCTTAGGGCTTAGGGGTTTAAGGGCTTGTGGCTTGGGGTTTCTAGGTTAAGAACTTTATCCCTAAACCCTAAACCCTAAACCCTAAACCCTAAACCCTAAACCCTAAACCCTAAACCCTAAACCCTAAACCCTAAACCCTGAACCCCGTGTAGAACCCAAGGGCCCATACTCCGAAACCCGAAAGCGAAGGTAAGGGACCTCATGGCAGCAACCCTTAGAGGAGCGCGGGCGCCGGGTCTGGGGACTGCGGGCTTGAACTTAAGGGTTAGAAGTTTAGGGTTTAGGGTTCAGGGTTTAGGGTTGAGGGTTTAGGGTTTAGGGTTTAGGGTTTAGGGTTTAGGGTTTAGGGTTTAGGGTTTAGGGTTTAGGGTTTAGGGTTTAGGGTTTAGGGTTTAGGGCTTGGGGTGTCCGGGTTTTGGGTTTAGGATTTAGGGTTTAGGGCCTACAAAGGTCTTGACTTGCCCTGAACCTTTGCTTTCGGAGATGCACAAACCCGCGCCCCATCCACCCGCGCCCACCAAATAGGAAGCAGGGTTCAAGGTTTAGAGTTTGGGGGTCAGGGTTCAGGGTTTAGGGTTTAGGGCTTATGTAAGGTTTAGGACAATTATTGTTATCGCGAGGAGCTTGCAGATGTTATAGTTGTGAGCCAGTCAGCTCGACCAAGACCCGTGGGACTGTCGAGTCCAGTCCAACTCGTTCTTAGAGTACGTGCCTAGTCGCTCGGCAAAGGCTCTCTTGCAGCATTTCTAGTCCTGGTGTCTTCGATGAGCATCCCCATGGCGTCCTTGACGGCCGACGACTTGGCCGGCACTCGCGTACACATCACTGGGAGTCAGCGCATATCCAACACGCTCATAGAACTGGAAAGCCGCCCACGGCAGAATGTGTGAATACAGTGAATACAGCAGGGGATAGTTGGTTTACTGCCGCAGCAGCATGATCAACAGTTGTCCATTCTGCGGTGGGCTCCTTGGGGATATTCTTGCTCTCAAGCAATGAGATGGCTCGGCAGACAGCCTCACAGTCTGCTTGGCATATGCCTGCAGTATGTCTTCACAATCCCTGTGTTTTGGTTTATCTGTTGTGTACAGCTTGTAGTATATCCTCGTGTTTGAGCACAGTCAGAATCAGAAACTGCATTCAAACAATGACGGATTCGCACGCTGCAACAAGTGATCAGTGTGCAAAACACAACACCGCGCCTCATTTATAAACAGGAGGCCCTTCCTTTTGTCTGGGGCCCCTTGTATAAATTACCCAATAAGTAGGATTCGCTTCTGATAAGGACCTAATATAGAAACCCCAGTATCCATTTATGCATGCAAATCCTAAACCCTAAAACCTAAGTCGAACACCTGAACCCCGGCCCCTACTAAACCCTAACCCCTAAAACCGAAACCCCTAAACCGAAACCCTTCAAACCTAACCCCTAAAACCTAAACCCCTAAAACCTAAACCCCTAAAACCGAAACCCCTAAACCCTATACCTCGTAGACTCTCAACCCTACTAAACCCTAAACCCCAAACCTCAAACCCACGTCCGCATTTTGGGGCCCGCGGCATTCTCGCATCAGCTTCACGAACTCCTGAGGGCGGAGGGCTTGGGGTTTAGAGTTTAGGGGTTTGGGGGTTTTTAGGGGTTTAGGGGTTTAGGGGTTTAGGGGCTTTGGGGTTTTGGGGTTTTGGGGTTTTGGGGTTTTGGGGTTTTGGGGTTTTGGGGTTTTGGGGTTTTGGGGTTTTGGGGTTTTGGGGTTTTGGGGCTTTGCACCTTTGGGGTTTTGGGGAGTTTGGCGGGTTAGGGGGTTAGGGGGTTAGGGGTTCGGGTTTAGGGCTTAGGGCTTAGGGTTTAGGGTTTCGGGCTTGGGGGTTTATGTATTAAGGGGTTTGGGGTTTAGGGGCTTTAGGGGCTTTAGGGGCTTGTGGGTTTTGGGGTTTAGGGTTTAGGGCCCAGAAGAAGTTCACATGGGCACAGAGGTTTGTAGGAGGGGTCTACGATTCAGGGTTTTTAGGGCTGAAGGCTTTTTCATTCATTTAGTCTTTTGGTGGGCGCGTTGATACTCATGACATCCTTTGGCATCTCTGAATGTCCTCATGACTCACATCAACTCCTTCCCTAACTTATCTATCTTACAAATGCGGCATACGAATGCGGCATTCAAGGGTCGTTTTGTGTCGTGAAGAGAATGATCATGAGGGGAGCAAAATGAAATCCAGAAGTGAGCTGAGGAAGGTTACAGAAGTAGTCTAACAAGGCTTAGGAGCCATATTCCTATGTCCTGTCTCACCACGGCTGCCACTTGCGGTTTAGGGTTTGAGGTTTAGGGCTTCAGGCTTAGGGTTTAGGGTTTAGGGATTCGGGCTTAGGGTTTAGGGCTGAGGGTTTACGGATTCGGGGATAATAGCATCATGCCCCCAACCTTGGCGGCATGACGCTATGGACTTTTCCTTTCCTGACGGTTCACCTTCTGGAATTCGATTGAAGGTGGTATAAGTGAGCGCGGAATCCGCGTGTAAGCACACATTCCAAGAAGGTGAACAAGATCGTCGTTAAGCACGTAGAAATCCCAGTACATTAAGTATGAGCGGTTATTCCATTAGATTTAGTGTTACATCATCTCTCATGAGCCCTCTTTTTCACGGGACTACGTCTCTTCCCAACGGTGGAATCATCCTAGGGTCTTATGGTTTAGGGTTTGAGGGCTTCAGGGCTTTGGGGTTTGAGGGTTTCGGGTTTAGGGGTTTCAGGGGTTTAGGGTTTCAGGGCTTCAGGTGCTTGAGGGTATGGGACTGGAGGGTGGTCTCAGGTTATTCGGAAAACAACACTGCGTCCTTTCAATCCTTAACCCCTCTACACCCCAAACGTTAAACTCACCTGAGGGCATTCAGGGCTAGAGCCTTAGGGTTTAGAGCTTGGGGCTAAGGGTTCAGGGCTTGAAGGGCGTCAGGGCTTCAGAGATATCAGGAGTTAGGTTAAGGCCCTAAACCCCTAAACCCTAAACCCTAAAAGAGTCCTGGAAGTCGAGGGAGCCATCTCCATTCTGATCGAAGTTCTCGAAGATGTCTTCGGCAACTTCTTGGCAGACCTGTGAGGCGTTTAGGTTTTAGGTTTTAGGGTTTAGGGTTTAGGGTTTAGGGTTTAGGGTTTAGGGTTTAGGGTTTAGGGTTTAGGGTTTATAGAGTCCAGGGGTTTGGGGGTTGGGTTTTAGGGTCTAGGGGTTAGGGTTTAGGGGTTTCGAGGCTTTATGGTGCCACTGGCATAGGCCCTCAAGGCCCTGAACAAAGGGAACCTCAAAATCAGGCCCTGAACCCTAAACCCTAAACCCTAAACCCTAAACCCTAAACCCTAAACCCTAAACCCTAAACCCTAAACCCCAATTCAGGGCGACGATGGCTCATCGCATGCGGGGCGCGTTTGGCCACTCTGGGCTTGCGTGGAGGGATTGCCTGATAGGGTTCAGGGTTTAGGATTTAGGGTTTAGGGTTTAGGGTTTAGGGTTGAACCTTAAGCCCTGAACCCCACATCCAGGCTTCCAACGTGCTGGCGCTTGAGGGGATGTCGGGGGGGGGGGGGAGGTGGTGGGCGGATCCCCAAGCCAACCCAGCATGGTACTCCCCCGGCCAAAGTCCAAACCCTACACCTGAAAAGGTTTTAGGGTCTAGGGTGTTAGGAGCCCCAAACATCAGTCCAAAAACCCTCAACCCTCAACCCTAAACCTTAAACCCTAAACCTGAAACTATGTGTATATATATATATATCTACATACACATATTCTTTATTTATTATTTATGCAGGGCAATGTAGGGCAGCGTCGTCGTGGGGCCTGTGGCGTCCAGAGCTTGTTGACGTCGCCGCTGCGGAGGACCTGCTCGGCACCCTTCATCTAAACACTGTTAGGGTTTAGGGTTTAGGGTTTAGGGTTTAGGGTTTAGGGTTTAGGGTTTAGGGTTTAGGGTTTAGGGTTTAGGGTTTAGGGTTTAGGGTTTGGGGTTTGGGGGTTGGGGTTTAGGGTTTAGGGATTGGGGCTTAGGGTTTAGGGCTTAGGGTTTAGGGATTAAGGGTGAGGGGTTTAGGGGTTTAGGGGTTTAGGGGTTTAGGGGTTTAGGGGTTTAGGGGTTTAGGGGTTTAGGGGTTTAGGGGTTTAGGGGTTTAGGGGTTAGGGGTTTAGGGGTTTAGGGGTTTAGGGGTTTAGGGGTTTAGGGGTTTAGGGGTTTAGGGGTTTAGGGTTTAGGGGTTTAGGGTTTTAGGGTTTAGGGGTTTAGGGGTTTAGGGGTTTAGGGGTTTAGGGGTTTAGGGGTTTAGGGGTTTAGGGGTTTAGGGGTTTAGGGGGTTTAGGGGGTTAGGGTTTAGGAGTTGGGTCCTTTTGGGCTCTCGATTTGGATAGTATCTTTTTCGGTCTGGAGTCTTGGCGCAAACCCCTTACACCCTGAACCCTCTAAAGCTTTCAACCCCTCAACCCCTCAAGCCCCAAAACCCTAGGGGGCCCTAACCTGCTGGATTTCTTCCTTGGTGATCCGGCCATCGTCGTCCTTTGCGCAGAAAGGGGCGGCGGAGGGCGAAGCTTCTTTGGTTTCAGAAGGTCATTGGAGGTGCTCTGAACTTCATGGAAAACCCCCCACCGTCCTGGATCCCTAAACCTACCACATACATCATGAAAAGGCGTGAGCCTTAAGCCAGCAAGCAACAACAACAAACTACCCAAGACCCAGGCCCTCCCAGGCCCTCTACGACTTCGCACCTTCCTAGACTTCGGGTCTCGAAGTTCAGGGATTTAGGGGATTGGAGTCCTGCACGTCGAACGCCTTGAAGGCTGCCCAGAGGACATCTTCCTGTCGCAAGGGACTCAAGGGGCTCAGATTGAGGGTTCTGGGCGCGCGTGGGCACGCCTTGGTGTGCGTGTGTGCGCTTGTTGGGGCCACTCCAACTGCTGCTGAGCCCCCCTTAATACTAAAGTTTTGGGGCTTTTGGAGTTCTTAGCTTACCAGGCTTCGGGTTGAAGAACCCTAAACACCATCGGGATTCGAGTTTAGGCTTTAGGGTTTTGAGTTTTGGGCTTAGGGCCCCATGACAGGGTTTAAGCCCAATACCGGCACGTTGATTGTGAAACAGCCTGCCAAACAAATCCGACGCACTCCCTTGCGATAGCATTCTGCCAGGGCCTCCAAACTCACCCGCTCCCCGATGCCCGCAGCGCAGAACTCCTCTGAGTGTCAGGCGTTTTGGGGGTTTAGGGTTTGCAGGCACGGTGTTTGTTCAAGATCTACGACTAGAAACCCTCAACCCGACACCCTACACCCGCCCAGGCTGCTGTGTTTGGGGATCCGCCCTGAAGTTGAACACCTCTTGCTTTGACACCCAACCACCTACTGAGCTCAAGAGACTAAAGGAGAGACCCTTATAAGGGACCTCAGGGGCTACATGGGGCTACATTCGGACAACTTAGGTATGTAGAAACTACATAAGGTATATCTAGGGGTTATATAGGGGAATAAGACTAAGGGTTCCTTCTAGGGGTCCGCCCCCCATTAAGCCGCTAATGCCTCAAAACTCCAAAGCACCGAAGCCCTAAACTCCAAACAACAATCTGGGTTGCTGTTCAGGAGCAGGGGGGAGGTTTAGGGTTTCGGGTTTAGGGTTCAGGAGCTCAGTGTTTGGGGCCAAGGGCTTCATGAATGCAAGGTATTTGCTTGGCGGTCGAAAGTTCGATAAATGGAGGTTTCGGGTTTCGGGTTTAGTGTTTCGGGTTCAGGCTTTAGGGGTTAGGTCGGGATTCGAAATGGCTTGAGAGGGATTTCAGTGTAAAAGAGCTGGGGGAGGGGGGAAAATCAACGCGGCTTATAGTTATTCAGTATTCTCAGTCAAGGTCCAATGCCCGATTTCGGGGCTATGAGATCATGTCTGGATACATATTATATCCTAAACCCTGAACCCTAAACCCTAATCCCTAAACAACAGTATAGAATTCCCCGCGGTAAATGCAGACATGGGTTGACGAGTGAAGGTTTGGAGGGGCGAAGGTGGGTCCAGGACAAGGAGAACAATCCTACCGGAGAAATTCTGCCGGAGGAACAGTGCCTGTCTGGACCTGTACGGATGTTTAGGGTTGAGGGTCTAGGTTGGGGTGCCCAAGAAAACCGTGGACGTAGATGGACTGGCAGAACGGCCTGTCGCAAGTCATGCTTCACTATACGGAGTCTTGCAGCAGACACGTGTTCGAGAGCCCGACCCACAGCAACCTTGCGCAAACCCTCACACCACCCTAAACCCTAAACCCTATGTGCGACTTCCTACCCCCAAGCAGCGGAGGAGAAACTTTGCCAGCTGCCAAGGAAGACAACAGTCAACGGACGCCAGAAATAGCGAGGGTAGACTTTGCTATGTGGGCAGCTCGGAACCCGCAAAGGGACCACAACTTGTAGAGACCCTACATATTCGCAAGAAACCCTAAACCCTCTCAACCTGTGTGCGATGCCGGGGCAGCACTGGTGGGTTACCCCGTGGCATTGTGGGACCCAAGTTGTGCCCAACTAGCCAAGTTCATACTTTTTAGGGTGCAGGGTTTGGGGTGTCTGAGGGCGTGAACTCTGACAAAGGGCAACTAACCTCTGCAACACCCACCCGCGCCCCCCCCCCCCCCCCCCCCCCCCGGAGCAATCCGTGTAGTCGATGAAGCCGGAGCCATCGAGATCAAGCCTGAGAGAAGAAAAAGACTCGGGGGAAGGGGGTGGGGGGGGGGGGTGGGGGGGGGGGGGGGCAAATCCGAAACGCTAACCCCAAACCCTAAACCCCAAACCCCTCGGCACGTTTTGCAGCAAAGGCTTTTGGGGGTGTAGGGTTTGGGGCTGGGTGTAGGCTGGAGCGTTTGCGGTATCGGTTGTGGAGTATACGTTGTGGAAAGGGTATGGCTTCTGGGTGTTCAGGGTGTCGGGTTTCGGGCTTAGGGTTTAGGGGTTAGAGTGAAGTGCTTGGGGTTGTTTACCTCCCAGCTAACCTCGTGAAGAAAGATGCATGGCAAGAACACGCGAGCAACAGCAACAAGCATTGTAAAAACTCACGAACCAATTCTTGGCGAAGCGGCCATTTTCTCTAAGGGTTCAGGATACAGGGTTTTGGGGGTGTATGGGTCTAGGATTGAGAGGTTAAGTTAGGGCAATGGGGCAAGGCTGAAGAAGACTGTTCCGACCGGATGAACCCCCTGGCCCGGATCTTCTCACCATTCGGCGAGCCGACTTCATCCGTCCGTCTGGCCCCTGGCCCTGACTACCCTAAACCCTGAACCTGCTTCAGGTCTTCTGGGTTTAAGGGTTGAGGCTTTTAGGGTTCTATTCTTGGGGTTTGTTGACCTCTTGTTCTTCCATCTATCCCTACACCCTAAACCTAAACCCTAAAGTCTAAACCCGAAACCCTAAACTCTAAACCCGAAGCCCTCCTAGGAAACACAGCAGCCCCCAACCCTCAGCTTCTGAAGCTGCACCCTCAAAACCCAGCACCCTGAACCGTCAACCACCTAAACCCTACACCCGTCAACCCTAAGCCCTAAACCCTAAACCCTAAACCCTAAACCCTTAACCCTAAACCCTAAACCCTAAACCCTAAACCCTCACCCCTGTGCAGAGGCCCCGGACTTCTGAAAGACTTGCTCGACGTCCTGCACCTGCGGGCTGTCCCTGCCTGAGCTCCCCAGGGCTGCTTTAGGGTTTAGGGCTGAGGGGTTTAGGGTTTGGGGTTTAGGGTTTAGGGTTTAGGGTTTAGGGCTTAGGGTTTAGGGTTTAGGGTTTGGGGTTTGGGGTTTGGGGTTTAGGGTTTAGGGTTTAGGGTTTATTGGGTTTGTGGCCTTCGGGTTCCGAGTTTGGGTGGGGTTCTGGGGTCCTTCGGGGATGTGAGGTGGTTGGGGGCCCCCTTCTTCCTCAAAAACCTCTGCCCTGAGCCCTAAACCCAAAAAAGCCTCCAGCGGTCTAACTTACACCTGATTCATCCGGGCGCTCGGCCGAAGAACTTCTGGAAGCCCGCGCGCACCTGTCTTTCTCACAAGGACCATCTTGGAACCCCACAACGTGGTAATCCTCATGGCCCTTGAGCCAACTGCGCACCCGAAACCCAGGGACCGCAGTGTCCAGGCCTGCTCATCTGCTTCAGCAGACAGCCCTAAACTCCAAACTCAGGGTCCTGAGCCCTACCCCGAAAACGCTAACTCCACCCTCAAGACCCTACAACCCGAAACCCTCAAAACCCTAAAAGCCCTAAACCCTCAACCTTGCAAGAACCCTAGAAGCCCTAAACCCTCGAAACCCTAACCCTACACCCTCAAAACCCTCACAACCCTCACAACCCCCAACACCCTCAAAACCCTCACAACACCCTCAAAACCCTGACGACCCTCACAACACCCTCAAAACCCTCAGAATCCTAACAGCTCGAAACCCGGTGGTGCCTCATGGAGCTCTAGGACGCCATCTCCGTTGGTGTCCATCTCGGCGAACACCTGCACCGGCTGAGGTCTAGGGTTTCGAGGGTTTTGGGGTTCAGGGTTTAGGGTCTCGGGTTTGGGGGTTGGGGTGTGGGGTTGATGTTTGTTGAAGATTGGGGGTGCTTGGGGTACTTGGGCCCCGGTTCTTCAAGGTTCTTGAAGTACGCCCCCTGTAAGGGGGGCCAGGTTTAGGCGGGGGTGCACGAAGCTGTGGCCTTGTGGACGTCGCGGAGGCTCTTGTGGTCCAGCTGTCGCGCCACCTTGGGCTGAAAAACACGGCAACTGTTCTTGAGGCTTAGAGTTTAGGGTTAAGGGTTAAGTTGTCCTTAGATGTGCCACCGTGGATGTCTATCATTCAAAGGGTCTCTAGCTTCAAGTTGCAATGCAAGGGGTCGGTTTCCAGAAACGCCCCAAAAAATACCTGTCTCAGTAGCATGTAGCACATCGATGAATGTTGCGGTAGGCAACACTGGCCCAAGCTAAGCTACGAACATACCCCTAAGCACGGCTTGAAGTAGAGATCCTATGGGAACACCACAAGGAAGACAGTTATGCCTACTCTCCCTGACAGGCTATATCGGCCTCCAGTCGAAACCAACCCGCCCCAAGACGACCAATTCGCTCGAAACCTAGCCGCACATCCCGGCTGCGACAACACAACACGTGCCTTCAACCAGCGCGCCCTTTGGCGGTTGACGTTCTTGCTCCTCCTTTCTCTGATATCCCCTGCCCGCGCTTCAACTGCCGTTCAAGTCATGCAGCAGTGCATGACTCCCTAAGCCCTAAATTCTAAACACTAAACCTCAAACCCTAAACCCTATACCCTGAGCACAAGCTGCACATGGGAAGGTAGCATTCGGCGAAACCTGCCCTGAACCCCAATACCTGGGCCTCGAAGCCCTTCGCCCTAAGACCCCCCAAACCTCGAAGAACACAAATGAAAGAACTCTACAGAAGTGTCAAAAAACCTCCCTAAATACCTACACGCAAACCATCTAAAATCCCTAAACCCTAAAACCTAAACAACCCTAAACCTTCCATAGGGACCTTGGAAAGTCTGCTCCTCACACCCAGCAAGCTGCTCTGAGCGCCATGCTGAGGCCACGCAGATCGTAAAGAACTGCGAAGTTCTGCTGAACCTCAGGATAGAAGGTTCCAGGGTTCACGGGTTCACGGGTTCACGGGTTCAAGGGTTCAAGGGTTCAAGAGTTCAAGGGTTTGAGGGTTTGAGGGTTTGAGGACTTGAGGGTTCGAGTTCCTATACTGTGGATTCTCGTATCCGAATCCTGGTGTGCATTACCGGGACCCTACCATTGGGGAAGTACCCTAATATGGGGTTGAAGCAGGCTTTGTGAGGCGATGGCCTTACTTGCCAAGACTGAATGAAGTTGAAGCCTGTGTTCGGGCTTGGGGCTTTAGGTCGTGAGAACCTGTTGAGGATTTGGCGGGGGCGTTTTAATCCTTTCTGTACAAGCGCCATGTAAAACATAGTAAGGGCGCGAGTGACAAGCCCGTACAGTTCAATATTTAAATTATAAGCGTCTTTTGCGCATATGTTTTGTTAATTTAGGCCTCTTGCGCCCGCCTCCTGATGCATCCACGCGCTTTGTCATTGATATCTGCGCGCAAAATATTTTTAGTGTTATAGTGCGTGTGCTCACTACATTCACGCCGCTAACACACGCTTGCTGCAAGGAATCAGCGATTATAAAGCCTCGACCCTGAAGCCTGAAACCTGAAGCCCAAAACAAGTCCTAAACCCCGAGGGTTCTACCCCTCTGTGTGGACATGCCCCATAGAGTCCTACAAAGTAACCGTCGACTTGAGGATAACTTGAGCTCTAACAAACTAGGGCCTTCTGCAAAGCAAGTTTCAAGGTCCCCCAGACCCTGAACCCTTAAGGACTTACGGTTGGAAGTATCCCAACCCCTAAACCCGCGCGCCAGGGCCCGTGCTGGCGCAAGTTCGTCAGGACCTTTGGCAGGGTTTGGGGTTTAGGGTTGGGATATAGGATTTAGGGTAGGATTTAGGGTCTAGGGTTTAGGCTTTGGGGTTTAGTGGTCTACGGGTTTTCGGGGCATTCGGGCGCTGCATTACAGTTTAGGCTTTAGGGTCAAGAGAGGGTTTTTACGGCTGAGGTGGAGGGGTTCTCCGTCGTCTTTCCATCTCTTCAGGGGTGTGAACCTACTCCAGGACAAAGTTGCGAGGGTTCTTGGGAACCCCCTAAACCTTAAACCCTAAACCCGCAGCTTTTGTGAAGTGCGCCTGGCTGGCGATCTTTGTGTCCATGGCAGACTGGCTCTCCTGTAGCCTGGAGTCGCGGCGTTCGGGGCTTTAAGGCTTCTATTGGCTCGTGGGTTTGAGGGCTTAAGGTTCTGAGGGCTTCAAGGTTTAAAGGTTCTAGGGTTGAAAAGTGTAGGGCTTGAAGCTTCAAGGGCTCTAGGGGTTAAAGCGTTATCGGACTTAGGGGCGTGAGGGTTGAGGAGGGCCGGCTTGCTAGTTTGACCCCTTGAATGCTCTGAAAAATGCTCCTCCATTTTGATCCTCTTAACCCAACAAGGAAAATGCAATGTATCCCAATCCCTGAAAACACACCGGGCAGCGGCGCCTCAGCCACGGATTTCGCAGCACATCCTCCAACTTCATCCTCACAGCGCAGGCGCCCAAAGCTCCCAGACCCTAAAATCCAAAACCCTGAACCCCTGAACCCCTGAACCCCTGAACCCCTGGACACTAAACCCATGTGAGGGGGGCTCAGAGTTTGTGCGTCTGACATGGGCCCGAAAGATTCGGGCAGAGCCCGGAGCCACTCACCATGAACCCTAAACCCGATTGCTCGATGCCTCAGCCGGCGGACCGGCGTAGGGTGGTTTTAGCTCAAGGGTCCTCTTGCAAGGACCTTCTTTGGGGTTTACATGCGGCCAACCAGCAACCTCAGTCGCATGCGCACGGCATGCCGCTGCCAAATATTGTGGGAGGCGTGGGGCAGTTCCCCTCATGCCAGTCTTTACTGCGCACTCTTGTCGCCGTCGGGTTTTCTACGCTGCGATGAGTCGTCGCCTCGCCGTGATCATTGGTGACGTTTGCTTTGCAGAGGGACGGCCAGCGCTGAGTCATGTGGCAAGCGTGGCATCTTCCATCACAGCACTTCACTTCACTTCACGCGGACTGATCAGGCTGCTTTCGCAGCTTGTCCCAAAATTCATGCAGCAAATTCACTGGGGCCCTCCGTCTCCAGAGAAATGACAGCAGGCCCGGCTGGGCGTGCTTCCCAAAACGAAACTGCTTGTTGTCTAGCAGGTTCGCGAGTCCCTACGCTATCAAGGTAAGCAGCTACCCACGTGACATCTTCAGGCTCAGGTCTGAACAAATGTGTCCAAACATCAAGGTCGGAGTCCGAAGAAACCCACTCAGCACGCTCATCTGCATTTAGAGCCTGAGGTCCAAAGACTTTCGTAGCTTTGGGCATGTGCTGTAGTCGGTGCCAGTGTCCCATGCGGAACTGGGAAGCCTGGTTGGTGTCGGCACGTTCTGTAGCGTGGATCTCGTCCATGGAGAGAGGAGGGATCAATGCAGCCACTGCTTGCAGACACTCCGGATGCTTCTTGAAGTGGTTCTGCGCGCGGCTGATGGAGTGAGACATGGTCATGCAAGAGGGGCACCAAGGAACATGCGTGTAGTGCCTGGGGAGTGCCACTATTCTGTGCGTCCTCGCCATGTGAGCTCCAAGGTGTTTGCGAAGGGCGAAGGAAGCACAGCAGATATGACAAGAGAAGTCCAAGCGCGGCGAAGTCAGCAGCCCATGACGCGAAGGTGTCTGTTGCCACCGCTGCAGGTCTTGATGGAAACCTTGAACGGCCTTCTTGATCTGCAGCGTCCACCAAGATGGCTGCGACTGCACTTGTTCCACAAGCATTGGGATGGGGTCCGCAGACTGCATTAGGACCTTGGCGGAGGAGACATATTCGGCAACATTGCGAACGTCGCCTACAAATTGATGAAGCCAAGATCGCTTCCCATGTAATTCCCATTGCACCTGCAGAAGGTAACGTACAGCACGCGGCCCATGACAGATGATCCGGCGAAGCAGACTGGAGCGCGCCAAGGCAAGTGAAAGATGCGGCGGCGGACAACCAGCTACCAACAGAACCTCATAAGAATGCGGCTTTCCATGTTCAGGTCGATCAAGACGGAAAAGGCTCCTCCACAGATGCACGTAATTCGCGTGCCAGCGTCGCTTGTGCTGAGAAGCACTAAACGTTAAGCAGCCTGATCCATACGTGAGCTTGCTGACTGCAAGTGCCCTCAGTAAGGCGACCCGAGTGCCAATGTCATAGGCAGGGTTGGCAAACAGCTTGTGAGCCAAGGAACGCAACACTCCACGCGCAGAAGCGTTGCGAACGTAGAGCTCCTGATCAATGCTACCGGACTCCGTGACAACTCCACCTAGATGGCAATAGGCACTGACTAGGGGGATGCGGAAACTCTCACCACCCAGCTCGAAGTCGATGTCAATGTAGTCCAAGGCATGGTTGGGCAGCGCCAACGCAGTCCAAGACTGACGTGTTCGTCTGTCCACCAGGAACGCAGTTTTGTCCCTACCCGGCGAAAAGCGCATCCCACACGAAGCCGCCCGATTCAGGAACGTTTTTGCCATCACCTGCATGTCATCGCGCAATTGCTGAGGCGAGGACGTGGCATGGAACTTGACAACGTCATCCGCCCAAGCTGCTGTAGTGACATCCGGAGCAACCGCCCAGTCGTCGGCGAGCAGTGTCTTCTGGGGGGGCGATGGCAGCCAGCACAGACCTCGTTCACGCAGAAGGGCTTCAGTGGAGTCCAGGTAGCACGTAAGGCCGAAGGCAAAGAAAATGTCAGCAGCAGAGTCACCTGGCCTGCTGCCAAGAAATGTCATGACCAACTGCGGCGCCAAGGTCATGGTAAACCATGTAGCCTGGAGAAGACTGTCCACTAACTTGACGAGATGTGGATTGGCACCAAATCGGGGTATGGCTGCGGCCTGTTCCAGGAGCTGGCGCAGCTCGGAAAGTGCCTCTGGAGTGGCTCCGAGCCCAGAAAGTAGACGAACGAGTTGGTACTCGGCCATCTCACCAGGAACGATGGTTTGGCGCACTAGCCGGTAGAAAGCCGATTTGATGTCAAAAAACAGCGTCATCCAACTGCAACCAGACTGACGGGCAATGTCAATGGATGCACGGACAGCCAAGGATATTGTGTCAGGTCCAATACCAGCGGCCGTCCCCGCAAGTAGTCCTGACTGATGTTGCTGCAGTACAGGCAAGAGTCGGCGCCGGGCTAGTTTGTGGAAGATTTTTCCTGGCACGCTCGCCAAAAGGATGGAACGAAAGTCATTGGTCTGGAACGTCTGCGACGCGCGCTTGGCAAGGGTCACCAACGTCCCCCCTTTCCAGAGAAAGCCATCACAGCACTACCGACTTTGCTAGGCAACGAAGCAATTGCAGGCAAATGTGCAAAAAACACTTTCACGTCATCCAAGAGGTTTTGGCCCACGCTTGCGGATATCTGTCACCCAACGCATTGACCTTGTCTCACTTGCGGTGCAAAATTTGTTCCTGCTGCAAGTTCGACAAAACCGTGCTGGCATCAATGTAGCACTGTAGCATCAAGGCACCATACGCAGCTCAGCGCTGCCGGGATGCTTTTCATGTTGGCGTTGAAGCAGCTTTTTGTGAGGGCTGTGGCCCCCAATGCCTCTCGAGCCGTTTGGTCTTCAGTTCTGGACCCTTTAAAAATGCCTCCAAAACCGTTTAGGCCGAAAAGACCTGAAACGCGAAGCCCTGCAAATACCGACAAACTCCATTCCTGGAAGTGAAGCCGCTGGGGAGGGTTCAGGGTTGAAGTTTGGGGGCTGGGGTTGCAAACACAACATCCTAAGCCCTGAGGGTCTAGGGCCTCGGTGGTCGGGGCTATGTCAGGGTCTAAAAGATCTTGTCAAGGGGCGCGTCACTCCTCCGAAGCAGGTTTATACAGCTGTCGGGTCTAAGGTCTAGGAGCTGAGGGTTCAGGGTTAGGGTTTTGGACGCTACGGAATTTGCGGGTGTAGGGGTGCAGGGTTTGCGGTTTGGAGTTTGGGGTTTGGGGTTTTTGGGGGGTTTGGGTTTAGACACCCCCTCCTCTGCTTTGGATCTGCACGAAGCAGTCCACGGATCAAGTCCTTCAAATGTCTCTCAAGGGTTTAGGGTTTAGGGTTTAGGGTTTAGGGTTTAGGGTTTAGGGTTTAGGGTTTAGGGTTTAGGGTTTAGGGTTTAGGGTTTAGGGTTTAGGGTTTAGGGTTTAGTTTCGGGTTTAGCCTAGACAGGGGCTTTCGAGGGCAGTAGGCCATGATTCCCTTGTAGGGGTCACTTCTCAGGGTCTTTACGTTGGAGGCACAAAACCCAAGACACAACACGGGAAACAAAAATCAATATTAATAGTAATAATAATAATTATTATTATTATTGTTATTATTATCATAATCATAATCATAATCATAAAAGCACAAAGCAGGAACGTGCCAAACCCTGATCCCTGGCACTACGGCGCCACAATCCGAACCTCAACACCCAACAACTACAACCCTCAAGACCCTACAAGATGAAGGCATCTTGGCTGCCTAAACCCTAAACCCTAAACCCTAAACCCTAAACCCTAAACCCTAAACCCTAAACCCTAAACCCTAAACCCTAAACCCTAAACCATCCCCCTGAGCCCAGGTTGAGAGCCTAAGGGATCAGTGCTTCGGGGGCTGAAAGGCTAGGGCTCTCTAGAGCGCTCGGAGTCTAGGGTCTGGGGTTTGTAGGGTTTACGGGGTTTTTTGGGGTTGATGGGGCTGAAACACTGCTTTTGATTTAGGGGTTTGGACTCTGGCACCTCCCTCAACCCTAAACCCTAAACCCTAAACCCTCAACCCTAAACCCTAAACCCCATTCAGAAGCTTCGGAGCGAGCCTTGGCAGGCCGCGAGATCTGCTGCCAGGTGGCGTCGGACATGGGGAAGGTCTCCCTCTTCATCCTGCCCCCCATGCCGGTTCTGCACTAGAATTACCCTTAAAACCCTTTGTGAAACATATTCCTGAATGGAACCCTCTTAAACCCAATAAGGGAAAGTATAACATGTAGGGCCTACCTAGTAGAGGTTCGGGGTCTGGGTTTTTGACGCCACTGCGCTTGGAACCCCTCAGGGCTTGAAAGGCCAGGACTGTGTCTTCGCTGCACCCTAAACCCGAAAAGCCCAAACACACTCAGAAAAGCAAGAAGAATCGATGGAAGCCACCGCGTTGGAGCCCCATCCTATCTGACAAGCCCCAAGACCCCAAAGCCTCGACTACCCGGCGTTTGGCGTTGAGGTCTCAGGGTTGTAGGGTTGATGACGTTAGCCTCATAAAACTACCAATCATGCCATGCTCTTTGTGCAACCCAAAATAGACACCCGAATTCTGATTCAGTAGGCACCAAAATGATTAAGGGATATAAGGAGGGATACCTAATTCGCCCCTAGCTCGCCCCTACTGAGGGTCCCTCCTTTAGTCCCTTGATATTAGCCGGACTCCTCCTGAGCTGCTCGTTGTAGTTCCCCCAAAAGGGGGGCTTGCCGCAGAGCATCACCTCCACAGTGGGCTCGGGAGTGTAGGGCTTAGAGCTCAGTGTCCCAAAACCCTAAACACCCCAAACACTAAAACCCCTAAACCCTCCTAAGCCCCAAACCCTACATCCTACACCCTCAACCCTAAACCCTGAACCCTAACCCGAAACCCTACACCCTAAACCCGTCCGGGTTCTAGGAGTTCTTTTTTCTCCGCAAACCCCCAAACCCTTAAGGCCCCTGAAGCCCCTAGACCCGAAAGCAACAGCCACCCCAAGACCCCAAAGCCCTAAGTCCAAAAACCCTAAACCCTGACCTAAACCCTAATCCCTAAACCAGAAAGCCCGTCAAGCCCATGGATCCCGAACTGCCCCCAAAACACCCCACAAAGACCCTAGAACCCTTCAACCTTCAACCCCAGACCCGGAGCCCTAGCCCCTAAACCCCAGGCCCGAAGTTCTCACCCCAAACCCTAAACCCTAAACCCTAAACCCCTAAACCCTAAACCCCAAACCCTAAACCCTAAACCCTAAGGGCCCTTCTTGCAAAAAAGGGCCGAGGCGCGTAGGTCACCACCCCCAAGCTCCAGAGGTCGCAGGCGGCCTGGGGAGGCTCAGAAGGGGGCTCTTACGGCTCTAGGGGGTTTAGGGTTTATCGGGTTTCGGGTTTAGGGTTTAGGGTTTAGGGTTTGGGGTTTGGGGTTTTGGGTTTGGGGTTTTGGGTTTAGGGTTTAGGGTTTAGGGTTTAGCGGGTTTAGGGTATATAGAATCATAGGGGCTGAATTGACCAGGGCTTCTGGGAGGTCTTCGGCTTTTGGGTCTCCCGCCAGTCCATGTCCAACTCGGACTGCAAGCTATTCTTGTAACGGGCCAGAAGTGAAGACATTAATCGGGCCCGTATTCGTATTCTCTTCGTGGTTCTCTTACTTATATTTCGGGCGGGCATAATATCAGAAGCCCGTTCTCTATGAAATAACAGAATATGCCTTTGCGGCCTTTATTGTTCTCTTCTTGGCCGCTCTTGAGATTGTTATTCATGGAGTTTATCCGTGAACAAAGTAACAAGCAAACGAAATGAAAGCATGAATGAAGTGAGCGCCCGTATCTTCTTTGTTCTTATTATTCAAACTATGAAGAGAATGCGTGAATATAACTGCAATGAAACGAAGTGAAAGCACGAATTGAATGAACGTAGGAAAAGCGTGTAAGAAGGGGATTAAAGGTAGCAAATTAAAAGGGCCGCTTTTGCCCCTTTGTGTTAATAGTAAGTAGGCACCTTAAACCCGAAACCCGAGTTCTAAGGGCCGGGGCCGTGTAGCCCTGCTTTTCCTTGGCTTCCAAGACCTGGCGCAAGTGGGCTCTTGTTCGGGGAGAGGGCCTCGGACGCGGGGGGGTCCAGACGAGGGCCTAAGCAAAAGAGGCCGGTGCCAAATGAAGCACGAAAGCTCACTGTTCGCGGAAGCCAGAATGCAAACGGCTCCCTCTCCCCCCCAAAGCCAATGAAACTCTTAGGGTATTCACTAAGAACGATAGCATTCGAGTCTTCCTACATACATATGTCTTATCCACAGAAATATGTCTATACACATATGCCATATCCTAAGTTGTAGGTTTCGGCCTCGGGCGCAGCGTAGGTCAGGCTGCCCACCGCCGAGTTCATCCGCCCCTGGGTTCTGGCGGGGGCTTCGAAGTCCTTCCTTTTAGGGCTTTACTTGGGGTTCAGGGTTTAGGGTTAGAGTTTAGGGTTCGGGATTAGGGATTAGGGTTTAAGCCAAGGCTTTTCTTTGAGGATTTGCTTGGGGTTTGTCGACGAAAAGCACTGCAGCGTGCAACCCTGAACCCTGAACCCCCAAAGACAACTGCGTGAGCACCGCCCCAGAAAGCCAAGCCCAAGCCCCCTGACTTTTTCTACAGTGACCCGCACACCCCATATCCCCAACCTCAAAAACCACCCCACCCCCTCCAACTCCAAACCCCTGAATCCGAACTCCAAAGCCCCAAACCTGAACCCGGAACACCCTGAACCCGAAACCCGAAACCCTAAACCCTAAAAAGTAAACCCTAGGACAGCCCCAAACCCTAAGCCTAAACCCTAAGAACCCGATACCCGGAATCCTACACACCCCCCCCCCGCCCCCTGGGGCCTGCCCGAAGTAGAATCCCAAGCCCCAGTCGATGAGCTGAGCCGGGTCAGGGCTTCGGGTTTAAGGGTTCAGAGTTTTAGGGTTTAGGGTTTAGGGTTTTTGGGTTTAGTGCTTAGGGTTTCGGGCTTAGGGTGCATTAGGGTTTAGGGTTCTAGGTTTGAGGATTAGGGTTTAGGGCTTGGGGATTAGGGGTTCCGGGTCGGGTTTCGCGGAAGGGGCTTGTGGACCAGCTGGGCTCAAGTGAGAGGGGGAGGCTCTCACCGACCCTGAACCTCAAACTCCAAACCTTATGAACTAAACTCTAAGCACCAAACAAACCTGGAGCTCTAACCCTACACCGGGAAACCCGATAAACCCTAATCCTAAAACCCGAAACACCCGACCACCCGAAAACAAATCCGAAAGATTCCCCCCACATGCCGGGGACAGACCTGTCGGATTCACGGGGGGCAACTTGCAGCAGGTTTAACGTTTCGGGTTTAGGGTTTAGGGTTTAGGGTTTGTTTGGGGGTTTAGGGTTTCGGGTTTAGGGTATCTACCTCCTGACAAGCCCAAACAACCCAAGAACCTGAAAACAACCCCGAAACCCGAAGCTCAAGAAACCCTAAACCCCTAACACAAAACCCAAAACCGATAAAAACCAAAAAGAACAAAAAAGACTGAGCCCAAATTGCCCTGAATCCTTCTACAGACCCTAATAACCTCCTGTAAGCCCCTATAACCCCTACAACCCCCGTAAGCCCGATAAACCCCCATGCAACGGCCTCTAAAACGCTGCAAGCCCGAAAAAAGCCTCTAGAAACCCCGTGAACCCGATTAACCCTATGAACCCTTGAACCCTAAACCCGAACCCTGGAGCCTATGAACCCCTAAACCCTAAACCCTAAACCCTAAACCCCAAACCCTAAACCCTAAACCCTACACACACCCTACAAACCCCCTAAACGCCCCCAAAAGAACCCCAATCCATGGCCTTGACATGGTTGTTCGTCACATCCTTGCTGCAGAAACCTCACCGGGCCCGGCTCATGAAACTTTTGGTTTAGGGTTTAGCGTTTAGGGTTTAGGGTTTAGGCTTTAGGGTTCAGGGTTTAGGGTTTAGGGTTTAGGGTTCAGGGTTTAGGGTTTAGGGTTTAGGGTTCAGGGTTTAGGGTTTAGGGTTTAGGCTTTAGGGTTCAGGGCTTAGGGTTTAGGGTTTAGGGTTCAGGGTTTAGGGTTTAGGGTTTAGGGTTCAGGGTTTAGGGTTTAGAGTTTAGGCTTTAGGGTTCAGGGTTCAGGGTTTAGGTAGGGTTTAGGGTTTAGGGTTTAGGGTTTAGGGTTTAGGGTTTAGGGTTTAGGGTTTAGGGTTTAGGGTTTAGGGTTTAGGGTTTAGGGTTTAGGGTTTAGGGTTTAGGGTTTAGGGTTTGGGGCTTAGGTTTTTCTTGGCACCCGGACCTGGGGCTTAAGCTGCCCCCCGGCTGGGGCAGCACTGGGGGCTTGGATGACGAACCCAGAGACTCCAAAACCCCTTAATTGAGGAATATACCTTGAAACATATGAGGGTTCCTATTATGCTATCATTTAAGGGATATTCCTTATATTAGAATTTCAGGGATATTCCTTAGCTAAGGGGTTTTGGAGTCTCTGGGAGGGCTCTTGTCAGGGCGAGCCAGTTTGCGCAGTCGCAGCGCGAAGACACCACATCTATACTGCCCTAGAACCCTAATAAAAATATTTTTAAATATCCTCTTGGGTTCTATATAAACAAAAATATAAACAATAATTCCCAAGGGGGATATAGACATACGGTTTCGCGTCGATGGCAGCTCCGGCGCTGCTGCGTCCAATGCTTCTGGGCCTGCTAGCCCTAAACCCTGAACCCTAAACCCTAAACCCTAGACCCCATAAACCCAATAAACCCAAGAAACCCTACAAAACCTATAAACCCTTAAAAACCCTATAAACCCTCAATCCCCAGCCGGGCAGCAAATGTTTTCGGGCTTCATGTCCCGGTGGGCGATGCCCCGGTTGTGCGCGTACCTGACGGCTCAGCCCCGTTTTGGGGTTCAGCGTTTAGGGTTTAGGGTTTAGGGTGTAGGGTTCAGGGTTTAAAGTGTAGGGTTCAGGGTTTAGGGGATGTTTGGGGTGTAGGGTTAGGGTTCAGGTTCAGGGTTTAGGATTGAGGGTTTGTGGTACAAAGCACCACCCAAACGCCTACATCCCCACAGGGCCTCTGCCGCACCACGTGGTGCTCCACAAAGGGGAGGTTATCATTCTTCGGCCCTTTTTGGGAATCCGACTAGAATCAGCGCCTGATATACAAGATAAACAGGGGCGGTGATTTAGAGGTTCCCCTTTCCACGAGGTGTTCCACATATGGTTTCTGTCAGATGGGCGCGCCCAGGATCACACACAGGCAGGTCCCCGCACGCTGGGCAGTTTGGCCTTATCTCCAACAAAAAAGTCTCCAGCGGAGGGCATGCACGCCCTGCAGCGTCTGAGGGGCATAAACGCCTCACCCTCAACACTCCAACACCCTTTAAACCCAGAACCCCTAAAGCCCTGCCAAACCCTGAAGGCCCTAAACCCTCAACCCCACACCCCTAAATCCCCATCTTTCCCCAAATTCCGACTGACAGCCGCTGATCGGCGCACAGGAGGGCGCTCGCCGCCTGTCGCACGATCTCCGCGGTGGTGGACTCCTGAATGAGGCCCTGCCTCGGCATTGTGGACGATTGAGGGCTTTAAGCTCACGGAGCCACATCGCGTACTGAGTGGCTACTACAAAACAACGAGAGTTTGGAGGCCTTGAGCTCTGATTATTGCGCTGAGAAGCAATTTACGAATGCGACGAAGGATTCTTATGATTCCTAGGGTTCTTCTCATGCGTGTGTAAACCCTAAACCCTAAACCCTAAACCCCAAACCCTAAACCCTGAACCCTGAACCCTAAGCACAAAACCCCCAAACCCAAGTCACTAAGTGTCACCAAGTGCTACCGAACACACAGGCGGGCGACTCCATGATGCGATCGAAGACTTCACGTCCCTCGCAGTACCTCGCAGGTCGGGCTCTCGGGCTGTCGGACTTTTCGAAGTCTCGGACCGCCTGTACGCAAACACGGATGCCGGTGAGAGGACAAACACATAAAAGGGAGAGGAAGGAGAGTTGCACGAAACACGGGAAGAGGCAAGCACCCACAACATAGCGAGCGAGTGGAGCACAAGTTTGGCGAACACACGTTCCGTCTTGAACGGGCTAACAAGCAGTTCTTACGGTTTGCACTGCTGGGGATTGGCCGCCGTATCAAAACCAACATGTATGCAAACCTGTTGTCAGGTTGAGTACCAGTTCCAGTGTTCTTGTCCATGCAGGAAGCACAGCATGCCGTGTCAAGCCAAGACTAGCTGATCCACAGCTACGACACACGCCGCAGACGAGCCCGTGGGCTACTAAGCTGGAAATCGGTCTTGGCTGCGCAGGCATGACACCCGCTACCGAAACCATGTGCTGGGCGCAGATGAGCTGGAGCTCCTGAAGAACCCTCCAACCCCTGAACCCCTGAACCCCGAAACCCCAAGCTAGTCACTCCCAGCCCTGCCCAGGCACTCCATGACAAAGAACATGAAGCCTTGGCTTGGAAGACAAGTCGAGAGCCCTTCAAGGCAAGGGCACATCAGCGGGATGTGGGGATTGGGATTTGGGGCTTCGTAGGGCTTTAGGCTTTAGGCTTTCAGGCTCATGTTTTAGCGCTAGGGCTTTGGGGATTAAAGTCTTGATGCGTCGCGCACACAGCGCAGGATGTGCGTTGTGGCGCTTTGGGCCACAAGATGCACTCATTCACACTTTTTGCACGCTATGGGAAATTTCAAAGAACTTGTTTATACATTTTGATTCATTTCTGGTCGAACTCGGACCCAAAGATATGAATATTGCTATTCTCCGATTCTTATTATTTCCGAACGGCGCCAAATTTCACGTTCGCTCCCAACCAACCCGCCCATCCTTGATCGGGCTGAGGGCTTACATCCCGACAACAAATGTTCAATTAACCATTATTTTTTGGTTCTGAATTGACGCGCAATGGGTTGCTGGAGTTCAGACATGCACTTCCAACCCGAAAACCTGGAAATAAGACCTTTGCACCAACTTAACAACCACAACCCACACGCCTAGACTTCTTTACAGAGAAACAATGTTTGCGAAAATAGGGAACGGACGGATTCAGGAAAGCTTTCAGGAAGGATGAGGCCATCATTTGAAGCGCACCGTCATCCAAGATGCCTATCTTAGAACTTGGCGAGAGGTTCAGATGTGAAAAGTCGAGCGCTTAGCTGTAAGAGCTTTAAGCTCTGCTGCGTCAATCTCGAACTTGGGCTGGCAAAAAAACTGTGGTTTTCGACCCGAAAAGACAATCCGGCCCGAGTTCTTCCGACCCAAGCCATTCCGCGAAGCCTGGTAGAGCCCAACATGGGAACCGACGTCGAAGAACCTACCCACGAAGCTCGTCAAGGTGAACGAGGTGAACGGCCAGCACTCTAACGCTCGGCATTCCGCCTGCCCTTCATGTAGTTGCGCAAGGCTGTCACGCTTTCCGCCCAACCTGCTGTAATGTAGCCGGAAAAGTCACTGCGAAACAGATGTAACACGCGTGTCTTGTAATCGATGGGGCTACCAGCCATGTGTATTTCTGCGTCGGTCCACTCCATAACCTGGCTCACGTTGTTGGCTTTGGGTCCCCCTTGTCCGAAACAACTTGTACCCAGCATCGCGCACGCACTGATCGACTGGCACTTTCTTCTCGGATTTGGGCTGGATACGCCAATGACGACTTTGCAAGCCTCCCACGCTATCCATCATGCAGTCGAGCGCCATGAGGCCAGCTCGCACGTGTGCCCCGCGCGAAAGAGCTAGGCCATGACACAGATTGACGCAGTCCTGCGCAAGGGTTTTGTTGCAACGAAGGTCTACATGCTTGAACACATGGATGTATGTCCCGACATCATCCGCCGGGGCTCTTCTGGTTTGGTGGCTGGCAGAATCACGAGCTGCACGGCGCAGGTAGTCTTGCTTGTTTCGTCGAAAGTTGACTTGCGGATACTCGCACAAAAGACTGCGACAGAATTGGAATCTGCCGAGGCTGGAAGCTTAAACAAGTTCGATGTTTCGTAATCGGAGGCTTGCAGAAAACTCAGCAATGACTCAGTGGTAAACTAGGCCAATGACTTGTGCCAGTGTAGCATCCACCCGCCTCTGCATCTATAGGTTGAGACGGCCGCGACTCACGCGCGGATGTCTGAGATTCTGACAGGGCCTCCTGGACGGACATGCCCGGAAACGGAAGTTTCCAATTGGCGATTATCCCCCCAAGCTCGCTGTCGAGCCCAATAGTGTCAGCTGCTGGACATACGTAGCATAGTATTGCTTGAAGCATGAGCCCTCCAAGCCTTGAAAGCCTGCCTGAAGTTCACTGAAGCCTACAGCTCACGGATTAAGGGATGAGAGTGGGAAGGGTTTAGGGGCCTGCAGACCGCGAGAAGATGCTGCAGTTGGCGCCGTGGCCTGTCGACCACAAGGCACGCCAGGAGCACGTACCAGCAGCTAAGGAGGAGCCCAAGCTCAGTTCAGAGTGCTGCTGGCCGCCCCCTCCTGACGCGGGCTAGGCGGTAGCACACCGCAGTGTTCGTTCACTGCACCACTGTATCAGGGATCTCAGGCTGCAGCTTCAAAGCCTCCCCACTCTCTGCTCTTTGCTCTCTGCTCTCTCTCTCTCTCTCTCTCTCTCTTTCTCTCTCTCTCTCTCTCTCTCTCTCTCTCTCTCTCTCTCTCTCTCTCTTCTCTCTTCTCTCTCTCTCTCTCTCTCTCTCTCTCTCTCTCTCTCTCTCTCTCTCTCTCTCTCTCTCTCTCTCTCTCTCTCTCTCTCTCTCTCTCTCTCTCTCTCTCTCTCTCTCTCTCTCTCTCTCTCTCTCTCTCTCTCTCTCTCTCTCTCCCTCCACCATGCCCCGACCTCGGCGGTGCGTGCTGCACGCGCCTGAGCGCCGACGATTTTGCTCAGTCTCTTCTCACCATCCTCGTCTGCACTTGGCACCCCGCACGCCGGGACACGCACTCCACACAGGGACAGCAATGGCTTTTGCCGAAGCAGACGTTGCACAGCTGGGCTCCGCATGCTACTTCGATGGCTTGCGGCGCAAGTCTTGGGTGGAGCTGCGTTTTACGGTTGGTCTCGGTGTCCGGCGCAACAAGCGTGCGGCTCGCCTCGACACCGGCCCAGTACCCGGTCGATGTCTTGGCAGCGTTCGACGAGGCCGCCTATGCATAGTCACAGGTCTCATGCGTGCTTGTTGCGCAAGTGCGCATTCACTGCCAGCGCTGGAAATTACCATGTACACGACGTCGGAGTCCTGCGGGTCAGCACACTGCCCGACCCCTGCTTAACTGCGAGCATGTGTCTGGAAGCGAGCAGTCTTAGTCTTAGCTCCGCGTTGGTGCTTTCCGCACGCTCCTTACGGTCAGGTGTCGGGTGTCGGGGCTTAGGGTTTCAGACCTTCAAGGGTTTAGGGTTTAGGGTTTGGGCTTAGGGGGCTTGGAGCTTGATGGCTTGGGGGCGGCTGGGTTTGCTTTATGGGGGCTACGTAACGTAGGATTGAAGCTCTAGTGCCTTGGGCTCTTGTCCTAGGGGTTTCCAAACCTCCCTTAACTCCTCCCCTCCCCCCAGCCCCTAAACCCTAAAACCCTAAGCCCCAACATGGACCCTTTTTCCGAAGCCCCAAAAACCCCCACTTTTCGGGGCTGCCTTTCTTTTGAGTCTCAGCAACATAGCCCTAAACCCACGAACACTCAAGTGCCCTGTGGAACAGGCTTTAGGGTTTAGGGTTTAGAGTCTATTCATGCAGGACACGCCCCTGTTCGTAGGTTTCAAGGAGCTTGCAGATATTGGGATGGTCCAGATCCTGGACGCAGAGTTAAGGGTTCAGGTCTCGGGGTTTGGGGTTTATTGGATCGCTTTGTTGAGATTGTCTTAGTAAGAGTATTGGTACCAGTAGGGAGTACTAGCATAAGTCTTCATGCCTATATGCCTATTTGCACTGGTATTAGAATAGTCGTGAAGGTAGCGGTAGTAGCATTACTGTTCAGAGATGTTTCAGATTGCTCTTGCCATTCGACTGGTGAGCAAAAAGTGCACCACACTTGGGAAGATGAGCTCGCAAAGTGCATGGGCGACACATCCCCTGGCTTTAAGGACCAGGTAGGGCGTGCAGGGTCAGACCGAAGGCTCTACAGCCCTAGTTTAAGGCTTTCAGGTTTAGAGTTTGGTGCTTCGGGCTTAGATGGACCAGGACCATAGCCCTCTGCAACTTTATCATGTAGGTGAGTCAGATAGCTGGAAGCTTCGACGCAGCAGGGTCAGCAGAGTTGTCTGGTACTACGCGTTGGCTTTCGCGCACGAATGTAAGCGAAGCTTCTTTTGCACGACCTGAGCTCTTGGCCGAATGTTCCCCCTTGTACTAGCAGTCCTTAATCGGGACTATAGTACCCCCGATTATAGTCCCCATTGAGGACTGTTACGTATAAGGGACCCAACCTGAACCCCTAAACCCGAAACCCTCAACCCTCAACCCTAAACCCCTAAAACCCGAAAACCCTCAATCCGAGCCTTCATGATCTGGGCCTCTTGGAGAAAGGCCTTCTTCTTGGCGTCCTCGAAGATGATGACCTGGACGAGCCACCAGTTCAATGCAAATTGGGGTTTGAGGGTTTGGGGCCTAGAGTTTAAGGGTTTAAGGTTTAGGGTTTGAGGGTTTTGGGTCTAGGGCTTGAGGGTTTAGGGTTTAGGGTTTGAGGGTTTAGAGGGCTCAGGGCCTAGTACTACTAAAGATTCCCTTAACAAGACCCCCCCCCCCCCCAAAAAAAAAAAAAAAACAACAAACATAAATAAATAGAAGTAAAAATAGGGCATATCATAAAATTCATAAACGACAACCAAAAAAAAAGAAAAATCAACCTGCCAACCCTTTGGGAGGGACGAAGCTTTGCGGGCTCCTGCGATGGCACTCAAGCACTTCGAATGCCCCCGGGGGATGAAACCCAACGAAGAAAACACAGCAGGGTTCCGGGTTTGGGATTTAGGGGCTTCGGGTTTGGGGTTTTGGGTTTAGCGTTTGGGGCTTTGAGTGTAGCGTTTGGGGTCCACCAACATGCGCTGTAGGGCCTATGTAGGGCTCCTAGCCTCACCCCGGAACGAACCCGAAGCCCTCAAGCCCGAACCGCCTTCTTGATGGCAACCATCCGGTCCCGCATCGTGCGGTCCCGAGCAACGAAGACCTGGCGGCAGCGCACAAAAACAACCTTGAGCGGCCATTAACGGGGGATGCAAGGCGCCTGCATTCTCCACCGTGGGATAGTTTGCGAGACTGGTCACTTGGGGGGGGGTGAAAGGAGGTCCCGGCCATTATGCAGGCCCACGAAACCCTTTCAACTTGACGCCAAAAGCTCAGCCCGGAACCCTAAAACACACCAGTCCACAAGAAACGAAACTGAGCCCTCCTCCCCACAAACAAAAAAAGGCTTGAGACCCCAAACCTTTCTTAAGCACCCTAAAGCCTAAAGCCTTTAAAAAAGAAAAAGCAAGGCCCCGCCTTCCCATAGCCACCCGAACCGATCTCGTTCTTGTCGATGTCGTAGCGCCTGTCGAGTGGCTCAGGGCTTGGCGGGGTTTAGGGTTTTTTAAGGTTTAAGGTTTAGGGTTTAGGGTCTAGGGTTTAGGGGTTTAGGGTTTAGGTTTAGAGTTTAGGGCGAAAACCCTTAACCCTAGCTGGCTTAAGGAACAGGGCTTAGTGGTGTCAGGGCTTGCCTTTGAAGGGAAAGACAACAAGCCCTGAAAACTCAAGCCTTAGACCCTGGGCGCGGGCCTCCGAAGACCTCGAATCTGCAACCTTACGCTTGAAGTAACTGGTTTAGGGTTTAGGGTTTAGGGTTTAGGGTTCAGGGCTTAGGGTTTAGGGTTGAGGGTGCGGGTTGAGGGTTGAGGGTTGAGGGTTGAGGGTTGAGTTGAGGGTTGAGGGTTGAGGGTTGAGGGTTGAGGGTTGAGGGTTTAGGGTTGAGCGTTGAGGGTTGAGGGTTGAAGGTTTTGGGCTTCTCCAAACAGCTGGCCTGGAGATCTCAGCATTGACCCGCTTCGGCATGAACGCCTTCGCATCGAACTTCCTCGCAAACGGCCGATTGGTTTCGGGGTGTTCGTGTTCGGCGGTTGGGAAATCCCTGAACTTAGGGTTAACAGGCTTAGGGTCTTTGGAAAGCCCAGGACTGGGGGCGAAGGTCCGCAAAAGGTATGCAGGGGGAACAAGCCCAGGGTTGAGGGTCCAGGGGTAAGGCCCTGGCTTCTGTTGGAGAGTTGTCGAATGAAGCCAAGACACCCAGCATGGAAACAGCGTAAACCCTAAACCCTAGCCCCTAAAGCCTAAACCCTAAGGCCGATACCCTAAACCCTGAACCCAGAGCCCGGTAGTTTGGATAAACTCTTGACACCTGTATGATCTGTATGTGAACCCAAAAAGAGCGCTAAATCTTGTGAGCCCCAAAGATCCCAAAACTAAAACTGAAGCAGAACAGAAACTTTTACCCTAAACCCTAAACAAGCAAAGCTCGAACATAAAGACAGCAACAGCAAGTCTGAGCCGGCCTGTTGTCATCCATGGAGCTGGCTCTTCTTGACCTGCGGCGGCTGAAAGCTCCTAAGCCCAAAACAACCCTACAGCCTAGACCTCCTACCTCTAAACCCTGAACCCTAAACCCTAAACCCTAACCCCAAACCCTAAACCCTAAACCCCAAATCCTACGGCTTAAGCGTGTTCCGGGCTTTGAAGTTTGACCTCAACGGGGCGTGGGCAGACCCAGCTCTCGCAGCAGCACTCTCCTGACTCTGGAAACACTGGCGCGGTGCTGCTACTACGATGATTCTTCAGAGGCAAACAATATTGAAGGGCTTGAAACTGAAGGCGGTGCTACGGCTCCCAGACGCGAGCTCAGAAGCACCGCCCCCAGCACTCACCGTTCTTCCCTTGCGGTGGCACTGGTCGCTGCATGTCCTAGCTGGACGCGGCGCACTCTCGCTGAATGCGGATCTTGGCGATCTTGTGCACCTGCGCGAGGGCCTCCTTGAGCTCCTCGTCGTAGGCATGGTCCATGCGCCTGCGGAACACCTCCAGGATGCCCTGCCGATCGTAGCCAGCCACTGCGAGGATGAAGGGGAAGCCGAACTTCTCCGTGTACCGCCCATTGAGCGCCTGGAATTCCGCCAGTTCTTCCGGGCTACACTGGTCCAGGCCGGCGCCCTTCTGTTCCTGGGTGGACTCCACCGTGAGTTGCTTGGCGGCCGCGAGCTTTCCCGCGAGGTCGGGGTGGCTCCTCAGCAGCTCCAGGCGCTGCGCAGCGCTCGCGTGCTGCTCGAAGAAGGACTCCAGCAAGCTCGGCAGCCCACCGTGCAGGTCCAGCGACTCCCGGATGAAGCCGGCATCCCAGGCGCCCTCGCAAATCCAGGGGGTCTTCTCGTACACGCCGCCGGACCGCGAGAGAAACGCGTCGCGATTCATGGTGGTGTGCGCCGATCTACTCAAACAAAACCACAGAGGCCAATCTTAGAAGCTTCACAAAATTGGTCGTGAAGATATTGAAAGGTTTTTTCCTCAGAGTTGGACCTGTAGAATAAACGGAAGGGCTTCGCACCGGACCAGAACTCCTCAACCCTGAAACTCTTGGGGCCCACAACCCCGCACCCTGGAACCAAGGTTTAGGGTTTAGGGGGTTGTGATCTACCTCTAAACCCTATACCCGCAAAACCCTGAGAAGTTGACCCTAGAAAAGCAAAAGCTCCCAGCAGCCTAATACATCTGTAACCAGCCAACCAAGGCCCAAAATCACCAAATCCTTTTTGCCAGACTTCCTAGCAACCTGCCGAACCTCTCGGTCTTTTCGTGAGCTTGGGAGATGGGGTTTGGGGTTTGGGGTCTAGGGCTTGGGGTTGGGGGGGGTTTAATTAGTGTGTCGGTGTTAAGGGTTTGAGGTTTAGGGTTTAGGGTTTCGGGCTTCGGGTTGAGGCCCGGTAGCCTCCCAGTCGCATCGCTTGCGGGAGAGGACGGGTCCTGGGCGCCGGCAGGCGGCTTCGGGGTTTTGGGAGTCTCGGTGGGGCTGGGGTTTAGGGGCTTTGGGGCTTGTGGTAAGGGTGTAGGCTTGGGGTTTAGGGCTTAGCGTGTCAGGGTGGGGAGTTTAGGAGGTTCGGGGCTTGGAGGTTAAGGTCGCCCTAAACCCTTCAACCCTTAACCCTAGACCCTTGACCCTCAACCCGAACCCCCCCAAAACCCTTAGAAAAAGCAGCCCAAACCCGGTCGAGTTGGGTCTTTGGGGTTTTGGGGCTTCAGGCCCCGAAGCCCCGAAGCCCCTTCCCGAAGGCTCGAAGCCCCGAAGCCCCGAAGCCCCGAAGCCCCGAAGCCCCGAAGCCCGAAACACCTTCTCAGGGCCCCAGCGATCTTGAAGGTGACAACAGGCCGGGGCAGAGCCGGCGCCATCTCTGGCCGGGCCAGAAGCATCAAAGGCCAGCGAGGTGTTTGGGAGGGCACGGAACCGACCCTAAGCCCTAAGCCCCAAGCCCTCGACCGCCGATCTCGCGTGTGCTGAAGGCTTCGGGTTTCAGCAGGTGGTGGAAAACTCATGCACTTAGGGAACCCCCAAGAATCTGAGTCCTGACGGTTACGGTTCAATGCATCTTTGAAACCTCGGACGTTGAGGTTCTTAAACTCTACACCCTGTCAGGCACCAACACTCAACACCCCCTCAACGTGTCGATTGGTCCCCTTGCCTGGAGCCACGGGATGCAGGGTGTGTTACTGCAGCATGCTTGTTCTGCTAAACTCGCTGCGGCATCAGAACTCAAAGCTTGGGAACAACGCCAAGTGAGGGTTCAGGTTCGGCCTTGCAGGCATTGAACCTCACGACCCTCCCAGGCTGAAGCCCGGGCTGGTTGATGAACTTTGCTTGGGCCTTCGAAACTCTGAACCCAATCCCCAAGCCTTGAGCCTCGCGCCCTGAGAACCAGAAGCTGGAGCCCCAAAACTTTGGAGCGCTGCGGCTTTGGAGCCCTAAACCCTAAACCCTAAACCCTAAACCCTAAACCCTTTTTGGCCCTCGCTCGTTGCCGGCGCCGGCGCTGCCGGTGCTGTGGGCGCAGCCGGCGCTGTGCGGGGAGGCGCCTGCGCCTCGAGGAAGGGTCTAGGGTGTTTAGGAGGTAGGGTTTAGGGTTTAGGGTTTAGGGTTTAGGGTTTAGGGTTTAGGGTTTCGGGTTTCGGGTTTAGGGTTTAGGGTTTAGGGTTTAGGGTTTAGGGTTTAGGGTTTAGGGTTTAGGGTTTAGGGTTTAGGGTTTAGGGTTTAGGGTTTAGGGTTTAGGGTTTAGGGTTAGGGTTTAGGGTTTAGGGTTTAGGGTAGGGTTTAGGGTTTAGGGTTTAGGGTTTAGGGTTTAGGGTTTAGGGTTTAGGGTTTAGGGTTTAGGGTTTAGGGTTAGGGGTCAGGGTTAGGGGTTTAGGGGGTTAGGGGTAGGGTTAGGGGTTAGGGGTTAGGGGTTTGGGGTTAGGGGTTAGGGGTTAGGGGTTAGGGGTTAGGGGTTAGTGGTTAGGGGTTAGGGGTTAGGGGTTAGGGGTTAGGGGTTAGGGGTTAGGGGTTAGGGGTTAGGGGTTAGGGGTTAGAGGTTAGGGGTTAGGGGTTAGGGGTTAGGGGTTAGAGGTTAGGGGCTAGGGGTTGCAGGCAGCCGAAACTCCGAGATTCGCCTGAAGGCCGTTTAGGGTCTAGGGTTTAGGGTGTAGGGATTGCGGGCTTCTTGCTTGACCATGGGGCTTCGTAAGCCAACTTAATTGCCAGAATGTCCCAGATGACCCCACTAATGCCAGTCCCAAGTATCCCCAAGTGAAAACGAGAGCGGCCCTTCATGAAATATCCTGAAAAACATTGAAAAACCTTGAAAAACACTGAAAAACTCTGCAAAACCTTGAAAAACCTTGAAAAAACTCGGGGAAAAGGAAAATCACCATTGCCCACTTTCGAGGCCCAAAGTCACCGTTGCCCACTTTTGAATTAGGGTGTAAATTCATTATGATAGAGAGGTTTAGGCTTTAGGGTTTAGGGTTTTGGCTTTAGGGTTAGGGTCTAGGCTTTAGGGTTTCGGGCAGCTGAACGCAACACATGGTGTGGAGACCTGTTCCACCCCAAGACCACCCATGACCGGAACCAGCCCAAAGCAAGCCAAAGCCAATCAAAATTCACATGCGACACCATGTTTAGGGGGCACTTGGACACCCCAAACGCTTGTGGGATACCTCTGGCAACTGTCAGGGCTCGGGGAATACTTGGTTCTGGATTTTTGACCAAATGGAGCCTTTCACCTGTTTCAGAATTTCAAGTTTTTCACGGTTTTTCAAGGTTTTTCAGAGTTTTTCAATGTTTTTCAAGGTTTTTCAATGTTTTTCAGGATATTTCAAGATTTTTTCCCTCAGTTCTGATGAAGGACTGCCCCTGCGACCTTTTATAGCCTAGTTTTGGTCAAGGGGGGGTCGTATTTTTCAATCTTAAAGGCAAAATAGTCTTCGGAGACCCCCCCTTGCCTCAAACTCCGACCCCCTCTTGAGAGGGAAAGTTTGCCTCCAAAAACACCCCAAATGAGGGGCACCCAGGATCGGCCCGGGTCGCAGTTAAAATGCGATTTTTTAGTACTGAAGTCGACGGTTCTGGGTGGGCTCTCGTTTTCTGGATTTTTGACCAAAACCGAGCCTTCACCGAGGGGCTTCTATTCTAAACCGTAGGGTTTAGATTAGATTTCGGGTTTTGGGTCCGTTAAAAACAAAAAATATTTTTCTAATGTTATGGGATCCAAAGGGTGGGTGGGTATATATTCGATACCAGAGTAGCGAGCTTGACTAGTGAATGCTTGAACTGGAGATGCTGAACTCTAAACCCTAAACCCTAAACCCTAAACCCTAAACCCTAAACCCGAACCCCCAAACCCTGCGCCCCCGAAAAGCCTGGCGCAAAGACTGTAGGCGGCGGTGGGCGATGTGTATATCGGCCTCGTCGACGTCACCCTTGGTGGCACTAGTGAGGTGCAGATTTTGAGTTTAGGGCTTAGGATAAAGGTTCCGAGTTATCTCTACGCACCCTCAACAAACCCTCCAAACCCGTGGCCTTACATAACACCCCTCTACGCCTTGAACTAGACCAGCCCGGCACCAAGACCTACAACCCCGCCCTCCCCCAAAACTTCCCACACCCTCCACTCCCATGCCCCCAAACCCCTCAAATTCTGAACTTGGCACGAAAGCCCTAAAACCCTCAAAGCCCCTAAAACCCCCGGCTGAAGCCTTTCAACTGAACCTGGAAAACCCCAAGAAGCCGTCTAAACCCTGAGCCCTGAACCCTAAAACCCTTAAGAAAAGCCTCGAATCCCATACGAACTTCCGTGCGGGGGCATTGCCTGGTCCCGGGCAATGGACAGCGCCGACTCTAACGCAGCGATGTCCTGCACATCTGGTGCAAAAGCTTTGGATGCACAGCAAGCCCTCAACTCTCAGCAACCCTGCCCCCTAAACCAAAACATGCCCCCACACCCCTAACCCGCAAACCCTCAACCCTAAACCTACTCCCTTGCTTTTGCAACAGGGCGCCGCTGGTCAGGGAAATTCCGCAATGCACCTCCAGACCCATGTCTTGAACCGCTGAGTGTTCTACCTGGAAGCCCTGGCGATTCGGGTTTTTCGAGCTTGGGGCGTGAGGCTGGAGTTACCGGACGCCGCGCCATCGTACAAAACTTTGCAGCAGCCTTGCTGACTTGCAAACTGGCGCGAAACAGACCTACGGGCTGAAACGGGCTTTTATGTCGAATCGACCTGGGGCTACAAAACGCTACCATGAACTTGCTTTAAAGTGCTGTGCTGCGCAGGCCCTCCGTCCTGGCCCCGGCAACACCAATCACGAAACGTTCGCACTGCAAAAGGAGGAAGCCCCAAACCCAGAACTCCCGAAGCACCGTAGACTCCCTGTGGCTTGTGGTTTAGGGTCTGGGGTTTTAGGGTTTAGGGTTTAGGGTTTGGTGTTTAGGATTTAGGGTTTAGGGTTTAGGGCCTAGGGTACCCCTCCACCGTCCTTGCCGATGGTGGCAAGTGCTAAAACCGCGGCCGCGTCGGGCATGGGGTCCACTCTCCGCACCTTCAACCCGACGAGAAGGGGTTCATGGTTCAGGGTTTAGTTTAGGGTTAGGGATTAGGGTTTAGTGTTTAGGGTTAGGGTTAAGGGTTTAGGGTTTAGGGTTTAGGGTTAGGGTTCAGGGTTTAGGGCTTAGTGTTTAAGGTTTAGGGTTAGGCTTTAGGGTTTAGGAGTTAGAGTTTGAGGTTTCGGGTTCAGGAACTGGGCCATGACAAAAGCTTCAACATGGGGGGGAGGGGGGCTTTCTGCGGCTAAAAGATCCTTCCAAGCTTGGTAACCATCCCCGTTGCTCTTACCCCGAAACCCCAAAGCCCTGGAACCCTAAAACCCTAAAGCTCTAACACCCCAAAGCCCTGAAACCCTATTCGGGCGCTGGCAGTTGGAGAGGCGGACTGCGCAAACCTAAGCCATGCGAAGCGGTTTAGGGGCTTAGAGGGCTTATCAGTAAGGCTTCCTAGGATCCGGGGGGTTAATCAGGGCTAATTTTCGTATATTAGGGTTTATTAAGGTTTATTGGGGTTTATTGGGGTTTATTGGGGTTTATTGGGGTTTATGGGGCTTCTACTTAGATTAGGGCTTATTGGGGTTTAGGGAACCCCAGAAGCTGAGCACTCTCAAACCCTCAACCCTGAACCCCAAGCCTCAGAATCTCAGAACCCCTCGTCCCCCCTAAACCCTAAACCCAAAAACCCCAAACCCTAAACCCTCAAAAAGAGAAACGATCCGGTCCTTGGGCTCCGGAGGCGGCGGGGAGGCCTCTGCGACCCGGCTGTAGAGCTTTTCTATTTTTTTCGGGGGGGAGGGAGGGGTTTAGGGGGCTTTAGGGTTCTTTAAGGGGCTCGAGGGGGCTTTAAGGCTTTTAAGGTGCTGGGCCTCAGGGTTTTTTTGTTTACGGTTGTGAGGGGCCTTTGGGGGTTCGGGATTGTGGGGGGTTGTAGGGCTTACTCTATGTCGCTGGAATGGCCACTCGGTGGAAGCGATACCCTAAACCTTATATAAACCCCAACCCAGAACCATAAAACCCTAAACCCTAAACCCTAGTTGAAACAGGGCTCTTCGGCTTTGGGGGTTTAAGATGTAGGCGACAAGGTGGTGCTGAAGGGCGAGGTATAACAGATTTAGCTTGCCCCAGACTGGCCACTGACTCCTTACCCACCCACACCCACTAAAGCCTCAAGTTCCTAAAGCTCAGACCCTTCACCCAAAGCCCCAAACCCACTGCTTCGGCGCATGCTTCTCTAACTCCCCGGCCTCGAATTCGAGTTTGGGGGCTCAAGGGGCTCATGCAACCCACAGGACGTTTGGGTTGGGGAAGGGTTCACTTTGGGGGCTTGGGGTCCATGGGGCCCTCAGAGATGCTTAGGAGAAAGCCGCGGCGGAGGTGAGCGAGCGCTGCTGCCAGTCCCCCGCGTCGTCGCCCCACGCGCGGCGGCCGTCACGACCCAGATTTCCAGCGCCCGCCCAAAAATTGAGGAAGTTCCTTCCCCACGGCACGCTTTTCAGGGTCGAGGTGAAGTGAACGCCCAAGGCCTTCTCATTGCAGCGGAGGAAGCTCAGGTGCCCGTTGTGTACGCCTGAAGCCTCCAGGGTTGCGTTGACGATGCTTGCAGAGTGAAACGGCCTCACCACCCATCCCAGGAACTTGTATTGCGACCTGCTTGGCGGCAGACTCCCTTCCAAAGTCGTTGCAAGGAAAGTTTCCACAAAGAGTGGGCAGTGAACATGTAAGACGGTCCAGTCAAAGAGTCCTGGATAGACCCTGTCCCGCCAGATGGCAGCATCGTCGGGCCGCGGCGCTGGCTTTTTCCACACGTTCTTCACACCGCCGCCCCGACCCTGCACGCCTCCGTGCTCGCGGGGCTCCACGATCCAGGGCTCCTCGAAGACATGCCACAGGCTCGCATTCTGCGCCAGCGCCCTCGTGGTCACGCCCTCCCCCAAGCTGCACCAGTATGAAGGGCTCTCGCCAAAGCCTTCGCGAACCGTCTCCGACAGAATCTTCGTGAAGTTGAGGCGCCTCATCCGGGGCAAGTCCAGGAGTTGAAAGGGCATGTCGCCGTCTCGTGGGGAGGCTGCTAGCTGCGATTCTCCGAACTGTCCCCGGTGCCTCAGGACCAGCGAGACGTCCTCGAGAAAGACGTAGTCCCCGGCATCTACGAAAACCAACAAAGCCACGTCCGGGCGGTGCCTGAAGAGCTCATGAACAAACAGCCGGATCCAGCCGGTATCTCCAAAGAGCTTTGTTTGGCCCAGGCATCCAGGCAAATCTCCGAGGTTCGCCCGCAGGACTCGGAAGAACCTTTGCAGCACGTCCTCTCCATGGAGCTCAAAGTTGGCAGCACGGGCCGCCAAAATGGGCTCTTTTTGCCGCAGCTCGTCGAGGCAACCGCGCAGGGCAAGCTCACCGGCAGCATCGACGAAGAGGTGGAAGTGCAGCTTCTTGCGCCGTGCGAAGAACAAGGCCGAGCGGATGGTGGCCATTGCCTTGAAGGCAAACACGGGCTCGCCCACCGATGCCACCAAAGCCACATGGACAGCACTGCCAGCACCCGCATCAGCAGCACGGCCAGCACCCGCATCGCGCGGCCGCGTCCCAAGCAGCTTGAGCAGCTTGAGCTGCCTCGTCCAACTCCTCGTCGTCGCTTCCAGCGAGTATCGGCGCAGCTCCTCAGCTGCTTTGGCATGCGACGCCCGAAAGGGTGCCAACAGATCGTCCCCAAGCCCAGCTCCCACCTGTGCTGCTGTCCGCCAGTGCAGGACCGTCTGGCAAAGCAGCATGACAAAGTGTAGCCCCTCCACGGCAGTCCGACCCCTCCGGTAGAGCATAGAAGGCACCCAGGAGCTGCTGACCCAGCTGGCATCAATAATGTCCAGCGCCGAGAGCCTGGCGATCAAACCCTTCTCGCACATGGGCAGGACGCCATGAAGCCAGGCCTTCAGCTCACAGTCCACGGTATCCCGCACGTGACTCAAGGTCGCTGCCAGTAGGTTCCACCGCTCCAGCGCGTCCGCTGAACTTGCGCCTTCGCAGCAATACTCCCGAGCCCATTCCGCGTCGCCCCAACAACCTCTTGCTTCCTGGCAGCACGCCTCATAGGTCAGCCCATTTCCTCCACGAAAGCAGTCCTCGTTGCCCTTGCCAAAGCTCGGCCAAGGGAAGGCCCCCAAGAAGAGCACATTTCGCGCAGTCAAAACCTGCAAGACCATGTCACGCTCTGGTAGGGGACTCTGCAGTGCGGCAACTGAGCAAAGGGACCAAAATCCTCAGTTGAACCCCTCAATGCCTACACCCGAAGAACCCAAGGTCCCGGCAACTGTCAACTTGAACGCAGGCTCCCTCGAAAGGTTGGGGACGAAGAAGGGCTTAAGGTTTTGGGTTTGGGGTTTAAGGCTGGGGGTTTTGGGGGTTTAGGGTTTAGGGCTTGCGGTTTTGGGTTGCGTTGAGGGAGGGCTAAAGGGTTTAGGGGTAGGTGAAGAGGTACCCGAAAGCCACCCTCAACCCCCAAGCCCAAGATCTGTCGCCCCAAAGCCCCTGAAGCCCCCACGGTTTTCGCGTTTAGGGCTTATTATTTTATGGCTCCTAACCCTAAACCCGAAACCCTAAGCCCTAAACCCAAAACCCAAAACCCCAAACCCCAAAAAAACCACTGAACCCGAAGCCCCGCCTCGGCCCGCTCTTTGGCCGGCGCCTCGGCCGGCGCTTTGGCCGGCGCCTTGGCCGGCGCCGCGCCAGCCCAGCGCTGCGCCACCTCGCGGGCTGCTTGGACCTCTGCCGGAGAGGTTTAAGGTTTAGGCGGTTTAGGGTTGACGTTTTGGGGTTAAGGGTTTAGGGTTAGGGTTTATGGGGCGTAGGGCTTTGGGGATTTAGGGGATTTAAGGGATTTGGGGCTTTCGGGTTTTCGGGTTTCGGAGGTTCAGAGGTTACAGGGGCTTTCGGGGGTGTCGGAGTGTTGGGGGTTCAGGGGCTTCGGGTTTGGGACGTGCAGGGTTCCTGAACCCTTCGGATGCACAGCTCAAATGCACCGGAAAGCTTCACAACTCAAAGAGCCATTGCAGCGTTTCGGGGTAAACGTCTATTTGGTGTTGGGCTTGGGCACACAGCCCTAAACCCCAAGCCTACAGCCTGAAGCCCAAGGCCTAGAATCCTGAAGCCCCATAAAGCCCTGCAAACCGAGGACCCAAAGACCCCTAAAGCCTAAAACCCCATCCAAACCCCAGAAGCTCCGCACCAAAAACCCCTAAACTGCAAATCCTAAGCTAAACCTCAAACCAGGGTTTTCCCCTAAACCCTTAACCTCAAACCAGGGCTTTAGGGTTTCAGGCTCAGAGTCTTGTGAACCGAAGATCAGCGGTTTGAAGTTGAGAGTTCGAGGGCAGGTTCATGGGAAACCTTTGGGTTGAGGGTTTGGGGGCGACCGGGTCGAAACACAACCAAACGGGAGAAAACACAACCCCATAGGGGAAAACACAACTGAGCCATGTTTGAGGGCTGGCCCAAACGGGAGAAACCACAGCTGGTTATTGCGGTGCCTTTGTAAGTTTGGACATGCCCTGCAGAAAACCCATGGTACATTCCTTAAGGTTTCAGGACAAAATCTTGAAAATGGTGGTTGTGATTCGTCCCTTCTCTTTGCGTCGCAGCACGAACATAGAACACACAATAGCAGACTTATTTTATCCAATACAATATACAATGCATATATATATGTATATGTATGTATAATCATATACATATAGATGTACATATATATGGGACCCCCCAAAAAAACACGACCATTCTATATTTTGTCCGAAACTTTATCGTGATACGTCGTACGTTCCACAGATGGACCGATTCAGATTTGAATCGGCCGGTTCAATTTTGAATCGGCCCTCCAACTGAAGATTGAAGATTGAAGATTCCCAAAAAGAGTTTCCGAGAATCTTCGATTTTCAATCTTCAGTGTGAGGGCCGATTCAACATTGAATCGGCTGATTCAATTTTGAATCGGCCCCAGCTTTGAAGATTGAAGATTCGCAGAAAGACCTTCTGAGAATCTTCAATCTTCAAGCTTCAGTTTGAGGGTCGATGCAAAACTGAATCGGCCGATTCAAGCTTGAATCGGATATATCCCCATCATTATTATAATCTTTAATCTTGTCGAGTACGGCTGAGTGCCTCCCATAGCTTGAAGACATGGCAGCCAAGGCTTCGGAGTCGAAGGATGCGTGCCCACCCCCCCCCCCCCCACAAAAAACAAACACAAAAAACCTGCCAATTCTGTATTTCGCAATATAAACATAGTTTCAAAACTCCTCTTCTGGTACGAAGGAGAGGGAACCCCTGAATCCTAAAAGAGAACCCTATTTATTCCCTCATCCGAGCATCTGTTTAATTAATACCTCCATGTTTAATGAAACATTTTTCGTCGAGAATCCGGCTGTAAGACTACTTTCCATTGCGGGGGTTTTCGTATGGGGAAATACCACTACATTTAAAGATTATTTTCCGGGGGTGGTTCAAAAATGTGTCTGCAGGATTGTTGTTTTTGCTTGCTGAGCTGCAGTTTGGATCGGTGAAGCTACATAACATTCCTATTGTTTTTAGTAGAGAATCCGTACATTGCATGGTCTTATTCTTGCGGCGCCCTGCCTTACTTATTGCGGTGGGGGGGGGGGGTGGGGGGGGTGGGGGGGGTGTGGGGGGGTGGGGGGGTGGGGGGGGTGGGGGGGGTGGGGGGGGTGGCGGGGGTGGCGGGGGTGGCGGGGGTGGGGGGGAGAACAAATAAACAGATGCTTGGATTAAGTCTTATCGCTTGTTCCCTGCAAAGCCGATTTTTCAAGATTTCAGTTGTAGTTTTACCCATCTGGTTGTATTATCACCCATCCCATCTAGTTGTAGTTAGCCTTATTCTCGGGTTTGGGGTTTAGGGTTTAGGGTTTGGGGTTTCGGGTTTGGGGTTTAGGGTTTAGGGTTTGGGGTTTCGGGTTTGGGGTTTAGGGTTTGGGGTTTGGGGTTTGGGGTTTAGAGATTAGGCGTTCTACACGTCACGACACAGACGGAGGGTTTAGAAACTCAGGGCTCGGGACTTGGATCTTTGAGGTTGAACGCTGTGTGGGGATTTCGGCCCAGAGGACTTTGGGGTTTGCAGGGTTTTTGGATACCCTACAACCAAAAACCCTGAATCCTACAGCTCAACACTACTCTCAGCCCTGCCCCCCTAGTCCCTGCAGCACCTACTTTGGCGGAGTCCGCCCAACCCTTCTTTTGGGTGCAGGGTCGAGGGCTTTTAGAGGTTTAGACGTAAACCCTAAACCTAAATCCCTAAAACCTGAATTCGTAAAACCCTCAACCCTACCCTCAAACCCTCAACCCTCAACCCTCAACTCTAAACCCTAAACCCTAAACCCTAAACCCAAAACCCTAAACCGTAAACCCTAACTAAATCTGCAGACCCTCAACCTCGACACTTAGGGAGGCCTCCGCGGAGCTCACGCCGGCGCGCTCAGCAGCTGCGATGACCTGAGAGAGGGCACAGGCTGGAAATCAGGGTTCCGGGCCCCTAAAACCCTAAACCCTAACCCTAACCCTAAACCCTAAACCCTAAGCCCTAAACCCTAAACCCTAAACCGTAAACCCCAAACCCCAAACCCTAACGCGTTGGGGCTTAGGGTTTTTTAGGTTTTGGGGCTCTGAGCCCTACACCCGAAACCCTCAAAACCCTGGGGCTCTCGGAGTTTGGGGACAATGTTGGGTTTTTGCACACTTGGGGTCTCTGAACTCTACACCTGAAACCCTCAAAACCCTGGGCTCTCGGAGTTTGGGGACAATGTCGGGTTTTACACTTGGGGTCTCTTTGGGCGTTGCCAATTGAAAGGGAGCGGAACTTGGGGCCAAGGGTTTGGGAAATGGGAGTCACAGTCACACCTAATTTTCGATTAAAGGTTCAGAAACCTACTAAGCCCGTAAACCCAAAGCCCTGACCCCCCATATAGGGCTAGTCCTGTCGGGTTTCAGGTTTAGGGTGTGTCATGTAAGGGCGCGCGCGCGCACACGCGCTCAGGTGTGAAACGCGCCGCGCCGCGCGCTCGCGTCGCCTGCCAACCCACCCCTCGGGTTTATTGCACAAGTTTTTCTCATGTGCCGATGCTTGCTTCCCTGGGAAAGGCCACATTTAAAGGGCTCCTATTGAACTGCTGCGCAGGGCTTAGGGGCTCAGGATTTGGTTGGATCCAACAGAAAAAGTCACAGAAAATCCAGGGAAGCCATAATTGGTCCTGAACAACCCGAGACCCGAAACTTGAGTTAGGAATCAGGGTTGAAGGTTTAAGGTTTAGAGTGCCCTAAACCCTCAAACCCCAAAATATGCTTCAAACCCTAAGCCCTAAGCCCTAAGCCCTAAACCCTAAACCCTAAACCCTAAGCAAGGCCTGCTCCAGGATCTTGGCGTTCCCTGTCCGCGTGGCTGCTTTGAGCCTGCGCGCCAGAACCTGGCGCGCCAAGGGGAACGAAGCTGTACCCGAAACATCCCGAAACCCTGTAGGTGTTAGGGCTTGGGGTTTAGGGCGGTTTACAATTTAGGGTTTCGGGTTTCGGGTTTGGGGTTGAAAGTCCACGTAGGCCCTGGCGCCACGGAGCATGGAGGACATAAGTCTCACACTTGAAGTGTCCCATGAGTTGAGGGGCTGGTTAAAGGCCGCGGCGTCAAAAAAACATGTTCGCCATCTGGATCACGCTCGAAGTGTTCCACGAGCCGAGGGGCTTGTTGAAGTCTGCGGCGTGTCCCAGGAGTCGAGAGGTGGTTAAAGGCCGCGGCATCATAGAACATCGCGCGCATGGTGGTCACGTTCGACGTGTCCCACTTGCTGATGTCTTCATTGAAGGTGCTGAGGTCCTTGCACAATCCCTGCATGTCAGTGATCTGGGAGACATCCCAGTCACCGATTTCTCCATACTCCTGTATGATGCCTGGAATATCATCACCATTCGCCCACTCGACGAGTTTTGCTCGTAGCTCGCCTTTGCTGCTGAAAGCCTTGGCACCATGCCCGGGAACAAACTGCTGCACAAGAAGCAACAAGTGGACCAGATGCACGGCTTTGGTGACAAGAGTAAGCTTCGGGGCTAAGACTTTAAAAGATGTTAAAATTCCACTTTACAAGCCAAACACCCTCAACCATCAGGAATCATGCAGGTGCCAGGATCAAGAAAACCAGCAACGAATCCC